ACTCTACCGTACCCCTGCGCCGGTTCAAGGAATATCTACGACTCCTGTAGCACTCATCGGATGCCAACACATTGACCGTCGTTGCCCACGATGTCCACCGTGTGCTCCACAATAAGATGGAGCAGGGACAATGACCTACGTTTGATTTAGTTTATAGTGAATGTACACCCGAACTAGGTATAAAGACAGAGTCAAGAAGACCAGAAGCGCGGAAGGAGGCATGGGGATGGCATGATTGAGCCAGAACCTTGGCGCTCCACCTCACACCCCCTGGTCTACGCAGCAAATGATCAGGTCTTTGACCAACAATAACAGCAATGACGGGGGCGGCAGGGGTCCCAGTGTACGCGATATCTACCGGTAACCGGGCCTGCCACGGCAAACCTAAACGTTGGCACTGGTGTGCAGTTCCGATAACGCCTGCCAGAATTCAATCTGGTTTCCGTGCTGGTCCAGCGCGTCTACCACGGTGCCCGTTTAGGGAATTGGGGGGGGGCACTAAAATCATCGCATGCCTCGGTGACATTCACACAACTCAACACCACATATCTGTGCAGTCCAGCCAACATCGAAGACAAGAAAACATCCTCCGACTTGTATGGAAGTTTGTTCAAATTGAAGCAAAAATTCTCAGCGTCATCACCACTCTCAATCTTGCCGAACACGTCGTGTTCAGACCGGTAAGAAGGGGCGGGGTTACGAGAAGTAAGCACGTGCCCAATGGTTGACAAGACAGAACGTAAATGGGAGTGCTCAAAAAGTCACATTAAGAAGGCTCAATTGCAGCTTGATCCTAAGTCTTGCGAAGGACCGAGGTTTCCACACCTTTCGTAAACCTATGGACACGCAGCTCTCATTGGGTGCCTCTGTGCCACTTACACGCCCAACACCACCTATCTGAGCAATTCAGTCGGCATTAAAGACATTAAATATTCCGACTTGGGTGGAAATTTGTTCACAGTGAAGCAGACCTTCACAGCGCCATCCTCACCCTCTCTCTATTCCCACACGTGTCGTCTTCAGACCGGAGGTAAGGACGTGTAGACTAGAGAAGAACATCTGAATAGTGGCTGACAAAACCTAACGTCATGGGGACGCGTTCCACACACGACCTAGTTCATATCGCTTCACGTACGGGACTTTATTCAGGGAATGAATCTCGGTCCCCATGTAGATGGAAGTGCTATAACGGTCACCCTAAGAAGGCGGCATTGCAATTTGACCGTCAGTCTTGTGAAGGACTGAGGTTTCCTCTCGTTTCATAACCCTTCAATCTTTAACTGTTAACGCGTCCTTGCAGTTTCGTTATCATCAATTCTTGTGTAACAACTCGATGGCAATCCAGGGGATATTTGTGTCCAAGCCTTAGAACAGTATACTTACGGTGATATCGATCGCCGGGCCATCCTAATTACGGGGAGGAAATAGGCATATGTGTTTTTGCAGTGGGGCCAACTGCATATCAGCATCTCAGAGACCGGAACAACTCTCTGAAGTGTGCATTGCTTCTGATGACAGCGGCAGTAGGGAGGAAATTGAGCTGTTGTTATCTATTTTTAACAAAGCCAGAAAACCAGCTTCAGTTGGGCTCATTAAGTAACAGTTCCGGGCGCCGGCAAAGCGAGACAGTTGTGCAGTGTCAGAGGTATATAGAAGTTGGGTAAGTAGGAGTACACAGTTGTAACTCCTCATCATCTCCAGCTGACTGTGAGAGCCTCCAGTACGTCTTCTCATTGACAGTAAGGAGTAATTGCAGCCTATTTCACGACCACGTACTCCAACCCTCAGTGTTCAAGAGCACTACAGATGAAAAATGCCGAACATAAAGAATACACTACTGGGTAGGTCGCGGGACCAGGTACCCCCCCTCCACCGTAGTTTTAGTGGTCTTGGGATAAATCGCAGGGAGATTAGGACAAGGATCAAGGTCAGAGCTGAGGGCGAATGTTAATCTTAGGATTTGGACACCTGAAATAGATAATCTTACAGGAATCCAGCTCAATGACATCGGCATTACGGGAGTGACTCCTTTTCGCATGTCTCACCAACCATCACCACTGTTCACCTTCTGCGCCGACCCTCTAAAGACCTACCTTGGACAAGTTCAACCGTCTTTCGTGATCCACGTGCTCGAACTTCTAGATCATTGGACCTGCTTGAGAGCTTTTATAGACACCATAACTGTATCACGCCCCCCCCCCCCAACCAACCACAGATATCCGCTGGCATGGCCGTCTGCACTACTCCCCACGCCTGGGCTTGCGGCTCACATCGGAGAAACTGGTCAGGGTTTTGATTTTCAAGGAGCAGTCGTCTTAGGCAGGGGCACCTGAAGGACAGAACGTCTAACACTTGAGGCTGGGTACTCAGATGCCGAATCTATCAACAGGCATCTAGATCTTCCGTCGGCCTATAAAGTCCTACGTCACTACATACGTTGTGACGAAGACAAGACGGTCCTACGGAGCCTAAGACTACCGAGCAAACACGACCTGTCGACCAATTCACCCAAAACGGGAGCGCAAACGAAACTAACCCCAACTGAATTGACGACACACAAAACAGGCGGCCACCAACACTCACAGGCGACGGCCAGTAGGCCAAGGCAGCGAAAGATGGAAAAAAATCGATCAGCCCACGGCCAACTAATTCGGCTGTCCATTCAAAATTCTGATCGATTTTTTCACTAGACGCTTTGCTAATGGAGAGGCGACTCAGATATGCGAAACGTCAGCCGAACAAGTCTTTCGATCTGGTGAACACTTCATTATCCTCAGATTATCAAACAGGATCTTTTCTCTAACGTGAGCTTGCGCAGACTGTTTCAGACCACCTAAGTTCAATGCTTTGTGTACTCAATTCGAGTGAAAGCGCTCTCCCTACTGCATCTCCAACCACACTCATACACACATCTTTAAATCAGGACGTGGTCTGCAGTTCCTAGAGCTCCTTTTTGAAATTATCTTGGCTGAAAAATACAGGAACGAATATAGGCCCTCGATTTTCAGGTGTTAATCGACACCCAAAACGCATGGGCAAAGGCCAAATTACCCATTTGCAAAAATTCATCATCGAATACCTCCTCGTGGAGCAATGCCCGCCTTACACTCTCTGAACACCGTTCGGCACCCACGTCGTTGGGCATTTGCGATACTGCATCTAACGTGTCATCGTTCTCATCGCGTTCCTGTTCTGGCATTGATACTTTATACGTTCCAGTCACGTCAGGGATGGCGATATTATGGGTGTCTGGAGAGTGCAGAATATGTGATGTAGAAAACAGAATTTTGGACGGCCGTTTATTCGCACTTGTCAGTGCAGAAAATGACTTGCTTGCTCAAGGAAAATCGTCAACATTCTCACTACTACCCTCTATTTTCCATGTGAATGAAACAACTTTCATATTAAAACTTAATGACACATCGCTGAAGAAGAATCTACTGTCTGCGGATGTACAAAGTAGGCAACCGTGGCATAAACCGAGTTCCCATCTTCTCGTCAGAACTCGACTGGAGTAACTCCAAAACCTTGAAACGTATGTTAACTGGGATATTGATCCCGCTAGTGTGTGCAAAATCTTCAGGCCAGTCAACGCAGTCTCACGAGGCAGTGTCATAACCAGATTTTTCAGTACACAGAGTATAAATATGTTGGGATCGGAACCCTCAACTGCATCTGCGTTCTTGGCCTTGGCACTTAGACAAACATAATCCACTTTAGGATTCCTTATTGGAAATTCGTATTTTGCTTAATTTAAACAGTAGCCCCTGGGGCCTCAGTTGGGATCAGCTACGCCATTCTGTAAGTTTTCCCATCCACCAACGTGATTTATTGAGGCTCCACATCGCATCGTAGTTCATTCGTGATTAAACATCAAACCGAAGGACTTTGTTCATTTCTAAGAAGCACATTCAATTGGAATGTTTTACACGTTCCCGCAAATTGGCGTGATCCTTCAGTAGATTAAATGGCGTTCTATGCATTACCTCCTTAGAATACCACAGTGCGGTATGGTCTCGTCAGTGACTATGTCGACGAATTGTCAACAATATCTGGCACTGGAAGTGTAGTCTCCGATGTATTCACACTGGAGGAGTCGATTGAGGAGATTCTTGAGGTCCCCAGTGCCTCATCTTGGTCAGATTCCAGAGAACGGAACGGAAGCATTCGCAGCATAGTTGAAACATTCGTCAAAGCTGAAATTACCGGAAGTGGAGCTTCAATGTCGGAGATTGAGACGTCCCCAGCCGTGCTTTCAATGCGCGTTTCATCCTGGGCTTTGTGACATCCACAGGATACACGCATATTTTTGAGTCTGCAAATGCATGAAAGGGGAAATAAGTGAGAGGTACCGTGGCTGCTGCATAGCTGTGTCACTCTGGCTGTCTGGTGATCTCTGTTCATCGTTGATCCGAAAAATTCATACTGTCCATCTTGCGGCGTCCTCTGCGTCATAATCGCATAACTCTCCGTAGTTAAGTAGTGTGGGCGATGTAAGCAACTGGTTTTGTCTAGAAGGAGAAAAATAAAATGAAATGCCGATTTAAACCCTATCGTTTTACTTTGTTATTTTCGGGACAAATATTTCACCGTTTTTGAAATCTGCTGATGCATGAAAGATACCGTGCCAGCTGCAAAGCGTTCCCACTCTGGCTGTCTGATGATTTCTGTCCATCGTTGCTCCGAAAAAGACAAACAGTGTGTCTACCGGCGTCCTCTGAGTCATGACCACATAACTGTCCGACTCGATTGAGGAGACTCTCGAGGTCTCCACTGCCTCATCTTGGTCGGATTCCACCTACGTCTCATCTGTTATCGGTTGGGCTAATTTGTTGTTTGCATCAACACCCCCTAATGCGCTTTTGGCATTTCCTCTATATCGCTGCTAAGAAACCACGTAGACGCCTTCGATTGTCACACCACAGACGCCAAAGCTTCAACTCTTCGCGAGTTCCCTGCTCCCACTTCCTTCCAGAAATCTGCGCCGTTACATAGGTGTTGTCGATTTTTACCGGCGTTTCATCCCCCACTCTGCCCAACTAATTTTACGCCTCACAATTCTTTTACGGTGCAACGACAGTGAATGTTCCTTTCGTGACACAGTCGTGGACGCCTTCCAACGTGTATCAGAGACTCTTGCGGATACAACTGCTCTTTCTCACCTTCTAAGTGATCTTCCGTTGTCCATTTTTGCTTACGCCTACAATTGCACCATAGGTGCAACTTTCCAGCAACAGACTCCAACGGGCATCCAAGCCCTGTCCTTCTATTCTGTTAATTGACACCCCCCCACACAAACTTGTTATGGCACTTTTGGCAGAGAACTCCTTGCCATTTTTCTCAGCATTAAGAATTTTCGCAAGAATGTTGAAGGCAGAGATTTTTGTGTTTTCACTGACCATAAACCCCTTACCTATGTCTTCTGCATTCTTTCTGACGGTTATTCAGCCCATGAGGTCCGCCACCTTGATTTTATCTCTCAATATACCACGGATGTTCGAGTTCTTAAAGGACCTTCTTACCAGGTCGCCGACTGTCCATACCTACTTGGAGTTAATGTTGTCACCCACGCTTCCAGATTGAAGCCATACGTCTGTTCGCCATCTCGAGCAAAATCTTGTGCGATGTTTTGTCGCGCTTTCTCGCGCCCTATTGTACCAAGCGAGATGGGACGATATGTTTTCATAGTTCATTGCGGAAAAATGTGAAGATATGCAGATGGCTTACTCCGTCCCAGTGTACACGAATGCAGACAACAACCGAGCCTCCCACTTTAGACTCAAGTAGGTATTTACACAATTATTATTTCATCGTATCTCGATAAAATTCGGCAGAATTCTTGTCGCTTGGACCTCAATTCTGCTGTACAGACCAGAAACCCAACCAACTTGACCTAGCGACACAGTTCGATTGCCTCATAAATCAAGCATAAGACCTTCAGCCGGTTTCAGCAAAGAGCGTTCAACAGCTGAAGTCCACGTTAGTCAACTGTTTTTATCAGCTCCTGAACAGTGACCAGAATTGTCGAGGTTTACTGAGAAAGTCGCAATGCAGACAGAGCAAAGGTACTTTAATAAGGAGACCAGATAAATTATCTGATGTTTTTTAATAGACAGGGCCGACTTCGTTGACAAAAAACAGTCATTACTGTCAGACAAGTAAAAAGACCGAAAGGCTGTATACGAGAAGGATCGAACAGATGAGGTTGAAGCTCAGCTGACCTAATATTTTAAAAGACTTCAAGCTAATGGTTTCGTGAGTGAACACGACGTAGAACGTCTTCTACCCGTCGGCACGCAGTTTTATGGCTTGCCAAAGATCGACAAAAATGGTACAGCGATTCGTCCAATCCTAGACATGAGAAACTCGCCGTACTATGCTATAGCGAAATGGCTAGCGGAGAAATTTAAGCTCATACAGTACCGGATATCATTACATAGCTATCGGGATACCTTTGAATTCCTAAGCAGCGTTAAAGTTATCGACCTAAGCGGAAGGTCAATGTTTCCAGCTAGACGTCTTGTCTCCTTATTGCGAACGTACCGGTTACAAAAACCGTCAACTACCTCTGTAAATACATTGTCTCCAATGGTAGGGGGCGTTCACCGATCGTTCTTACGAAACTCGCTCGTTCCGTTGTGCATTATGGCTTCTATCTTGGCCTTATCTTTAACGGTAATGCCATTCTGCTAATTGTCTCCAATCATCAGGACATTCGAATGCCGATGAATGCAGCTAAACGTACGGCTCAAATTCGATATCGTTCTACATAAACAAATGGACGGAGAAGCTATGGGCTCACCACTTGGTCCGCATTTGGCGGAGATTTTCGTGGGCCATCTAGAAGCTTTAGGGCCTCGTCGCCAGATCAATGGTTTCGGAACATATGGGCTCTACGTGGATGTTATATTCGCGATCGCACCTACTGGATGATATCAGTGAGGCGTATCCATCAATTTAATCGACTCTGAAAGAAGAGCAGTTCGAATCGCTGTCCATTCCCGATGTGGTTTAGAGCAGAAGACCTGACGGTTGTATTCGGCGTAGCTTTAATCGTTAAAAGACGCGGTCCGGACAAAACACCAATTTTGGGAATCTCTTATCGATAGACATGAAATGCAATTTAGCTCGCTGTTTGACACGAAGAGTAAGGAGGACCTGAGCAGCAGATACCATCGAGGAAGAAAGTATGATTGTCGAAAATCTCTTTTGACAGAACGGGTACCCAGATCAGTTCATTGCTAAGTACATGACGGAAAGATCACGAAAGCCCAAATGCTAAAGGCAGAAAAGAAGAAGCTTTTCATCAGAGTCCCGTTTCAGGGGGACGCATCAAATGAACTCCCAAGAGGGTGCCAAAATTGAGCTGTATCACGCACCTTTCCAGCAGCTGACACCCATGTACTCTTCTCCACCAGTCCCATCCTACGCGGAGAGGGCGAGGATAAAATGCAAGTCCAGACCAATTGTATGCGTATCTACTCCTACCCCTGCTCCTGTGGGGCAGAATATATTGGACTCACGAGCCGGCGTTTGTCCAAATGAATAAGAGAAAATCTTGCAGCATGGTTAGGAAAGGGTCAAATAAAGAATGCCAACGGTTCAATCCCCGCGCACATGATAGATGCAGATCACAGTGATGATATCCGACAAGTCTTCGGAAAGATTTACAAGGTTTCGTCAAGCTATCCCAAATCACTTGGACGGCGTCTGTTGGCCACTGCAGAGGCGGGTGCAATCGGGTCCTATGCGCACAGAAGGACTTCGCACAGATCCCGCAGGCCAAAGACACGTCGCCCGCCAACTGCGTACAATTACCCCTCCCAGTGTCCAACATTCCTCTCCTCTCCCCCCATGGCACTGACGATAATTTTGTTTTTCACTTCATCCCCCCCGTCCTCCTCCAAAATAACTCCAGCTACAGAATGATCTCTGCCTGTAGAGTTGTGAAAATTCCCATTGAAGAATTCAAAGAACAGTTTGGCGAGCATACATAGGCTTTCGTTAAATTCTCTTCGGGCCTATGCTATGCAATATAAATGCATAGGTCTAAAAAGAATATATCGAAGGCTTACGTATGCTCGACAAATTGTCTTTTGACGAACTTCCGCTTGCCGGCATTTTCCTACAAATCCTTTCGAGGTCAGATGTGGTTATGTAGCCCCACCTCACGTAAACGGAACCCAGCCATCTGTAATAGGCGACCGGGGAGTAATGGGGGTTATTACAGGTGGGATCGGGGAAAGCACAGGCGACGAGATCAAGTAGTTGCATGTAAAAGAGAAGCCATTGAGTTTGCGAGTTGTACTTTGAGTGGTTGGGAAATTGTTGCCATAACCCCTAACCCTCACTCCTAACTCGAACTCTATAATCCTCACCCATAGCCCTAACTTCTAACAATCACTCAAAAGTTTGACCCCTTACGTCACCCCCAACCCCAACAGTATTGTGTCCATGAGGTGGGGGCTACGTAACCACAACTTGCCCATTTCACTAGAGATATAAATGTACGGGCCTTCAGAGAATTAATCGAAAGCTGTCGTATGATTGCAAAATTGCTCTTTAAACGTAATCTTTATTCATATAATCATGCCTCACCTGCACGCTCTGAATTAATTAATTCTTCGAAAAGATTACCTTAGACTTCCTGTGTCACGCCGTCGCTCACCATACAAAGCGTGCTCTACGACCTGCCGATCACCTGTTGGCAAGCACTGCCTCGGTTACAACACTACAGTACGAAACCCAGGTCGTGCTGCTTGGTGACAGAATCTGACATGAGATTTTCCGCACGCCTTTAACGCTCCCCATCCAGCCCGCTCATTCAGTCCCTTAGAGAAAATGCAACCTTCTTTTGCAGAAAATATGTCTAGATAACTTTATCGAATAAGACATCCATGCAGTGTGAGCGAAAATGGACGCTGTGATATATTTGGGAAAATTCTCTGTGCTAGACTTCGATCACCTTTCTGTATGCGTGTTTATCCTAGACGAGGTGTATTTACTCTTAGGAGTTCTGCTATCTAGCGCTGGCCGCATATGAAAAAAAATGATTTTTTTGCTGGATGATAACCGGGGTAACCAGATTGTTGACACACAGATTATTTTTGAAAAATTAAGAATTTTATGGAATTATAGAGTACAGAATTGCAATTATTTAAGTTTTCGCGTCGTAAAAAGCAGTATAAACTCACATATTGACCACAATCCCTATCCACAACGTTAACCCAAAAACCTAAAACCTAGCCTTAACTCCTAACCCCAACCGTAACGTTGATCCCAAATCCCAACCCTAACCCTGGACATGTGACTCTTACTCTGGCCACAAACCTTAGCCTAAACCCTAATCCAGAACTTACCCCACAT